GAAAAACCGGGCCTTAGGGTATTAATGACAACTGCCATCAATGTCTAGTCCGATAACCTGACAGGTATGTATTTCAGGTATCGCAGCTCATTAGTTTCAGATAAACTTGCCCGTATCGGATTCCTGAGCTTACCTGTTAATTACATTTGAATTACGATCCTCATCAACTCATAGATAAAAGAGTGCATTACGAAATTAGGGCTAGTCGAGCTTTGACTATCTCTTATACCAGAAGTGTAAGTACACGCAAGTGCGTTTGATATTGTTGTCTCTGTTTTTGTTATTGCTAGCGGTTTCACCGTTATTACCAAGTTTCATTGTTGTCATAACGCCGAGGTTAAGTAACGAGGCATATGCTGACACGTTGCTGGATTATGGTAGTGCTAACTGCAATTCACATGAAGCGCAAAGACTTTACCAGCAGCGATACCCTGATCAGCAGTTACCTCACCATGGGACCTTCGCGACAACATATCGGCGAATGGGAGCGTGAATTTTCAAAAGCTTAGAGTGAGCGGTCGACAACTCAGTGTGACTACTGATGCGGATCCTACCACAAGTATTCGGTTTGCGGCTGAAAGACTTGCTGTATCGGTGAAAAAAAATACAGACAAACAGGAAATATTCATTTCATTATTTTCCTGTATAAGGTAATGTAGTTTTATGTTTTGTCAGGTTTATGCAACATTTCAATAATCATTGTCATAATCACAGCATAACAGTTGAAATCCTTATTTCTTTTGAACACGTGTATACAGCTTGTCAAACTCATAGTCATGAAACAGTCTATGGTCATAAACATTAGCCCTTGCGAAGTTGTGCTTATTGTATGCGTATTTATGTTACAGGTCTGGAAGAAAGTTTCAGTACGAGAAGGCAGAAGTTCTGCACACGGACGTGGACGACGGTAGCTTTTTAAAGAGGATCTTGCGGACAGATGAGTCCAGCTTCAACCATGACGGAATCGTGACTTTGCACAATCTACACTATTGGGCAGACCGGGACCGGAACCCACACAAGAAAAGACAATGCTCATTTCTTAGACGATTCAGCGTCAACGTGTGGGCCGGTGTCATTGGACGTACTCTGATAGGACCTTATTTCTTGCCAGACCGGCTAAATGGCGAAAATTACCTGGAATTCCTGCAGACTGCGTTGCCTGATCTGCTGCTACCAATTTTACCTGATGCACCAATTATTTTCCAGCATGATGGCTGCCCCTCACACTACGTTCGACAGTTTTTGGACAATGCGTTTCCAAACGCCTGGATTGGTAGGGGTAGTCCTAAATAAATACAGTATGAACAACCTTTTTCATATTGTATTTATAAGTTGTATAATCAGTTACCTTCGGACCTTAAGTCTATGACACTGATATTTTTCAAAAAACACGCTAAGGCTTACATTATGTCAAAATATTCTTTCTAATTTAATTAAGCTTTGATATTAGTTCAACTTGGTATTCTCAAGTTGTTGCTAGTTTATGTATGTATGTATGTATGTATGCGTTTGGAATGCATGACCATGCTTTTTTACACTTAGATACTTGCATGCAGGTATACTTTTTTGTACAAAACCTTTCTTTTCTTTTTTTTTTTTCTTTTTCTGTTTTTTTTTGTCAATTTCCGGGGCTGAGTGGAAGAACACTATTTTTTGTGAACTCCGCCTTTTGGATCATACGTCTATCTGTATAGCATATTTACAATAAATTCGATTATTATTATTATTATTATTATTATTATTATTATACTAAGTGACATATAAATCCGAACACCCAGTTTAAATGATTTTATTTTAATAAAATTTTGTATAAGTACTTAATGAAGCTTAATAAGTAAATGATAAAAATTTCAAAATGATTGCACTGCTTTAAAGCCCTTTGACCTTTAATAATGTGTGGATGCACCCTGATGTGCTACGCATTCTCCAACGCGCCTAGGCATGCTTCTGATCAGGTGGTCAATGTCCTCCTGTGGTATCTCATTCCAGACAACCACCAACTCCTCTCGAAGTGCTTCTAGAGCCTGAGGAGGACGTTGCAAATTGAGCAATCTCCTACCCATCATATACCACACGTGCTCAATTGGGGATAAGTCGGGAGATCTTGGTGGCCATGGTAACAATGTGACATCATTATATTGAAAGAGGTCTATTGTGACTCTTGCAACATGTGGTCGGGCATTATCTTGTTGGAAAGTTGGATCTGCCAGGGTGTCAAGATAGGGTAAAAGATGGGGTTCTAGAACTTCGTGGATATAACGCTACGCGTTCATGTTACCTCTGATGAAGATTAAGGGTGACCTGGAACCATAAGCTATAGCACCCCAAACCATAACTCCAACAGTGTGACGAACTTGTCTTTCAACAAAAAACTGTGGATTCCTCCTTTCATCACGTCGCCTTCTAACCCTGGCACGACCATCGTGCATGCCTAAACAAAATCGAGACTCGTCACTAAAGACAATACTGTTCCATTCCTCATCCCAGAGTGACCGTTGTCTGCACCACCCAAGGCGATTACGTCGGTGTTCTCGAGTTAAAGGGAGCACCCAGTGTAGCCGGTATGTAAACAAGCCAAAACTTCTCATTCATCGGTAAACACTTCTCATGCCAATAGGTCTTCCGTGTTCTGCAAACCATTCATTTGCAATGGACCTGGTAGTGAAGAAACGGTCCCTTAAGGCCAATAATCTTAGGCGGCGATCTTCATGGTCTGTTGTTCTACGGCGGCGTCCAGTGCCCCTTGCTCTTTGCGTACGGCCTTCTCGAAGCCATGCCTGACAACACCTAACCACAGTGTCTACACTTCTTTGCACTCTAACTGCAATTGCCCGAAAAGAAAGTCCAGCTTCCCGAAGTCCCACTATACGGCCCCTATCAAACTCACTAAGTTGACGAAATCGTACAGGTCTCCGTACTCTAGGCATCGTAACCGATCGTAAAGGATGTCAAGAATCAAAATCCGCCAACGTTGATTCTTTACTGCCGCTGAAATATTCATTTTTAGAGCGTTAGTGAATTAAAAAAAAGCAGTATAAAAACCGGAATGTCCGACTGATAAGGCTGAAAATTTTTTCACTTGTTACTTACAGTAAGATAAATACATTCACCAACTTTTATTGAAATAAAACCATTTAAACTGGGTGTTCGGATTTATATGTCACTTAGTATATTTTGCGATTATAGAGTTGAACTGCTCCACGCTATTGTTGTCCTCATCAAAAAAAACTCACTGAATTCGTAATTAAAATTGTCTCATATGACCTTTTATTGTCTGTCCATTATCAACCTTGATAAAAAATTCACTCAAGAATAATCACACCAACAAGAGTACAACTCAACAGTTCAACAACACAATATCGACGAACAGTAACAACGGTAGAACAATACCAAATGATCACTAGCAGAGTACCAAAGTAGGAAACGATTTACAGGCTAGATCGCTAATCGAAATACGACTCTGCTTTTATAAAAATTTACCTCGGTAGGCACCCGCAGTCATCCTTTCCTCTTTTAGGCTGATCGTCCATTGGAAGCGTAGTCGCGCGACTCGAAGGTAGCGCGTATACGCCCGTGTATGAGCGATCATGAGACTGAGCGACTGGCATCATTCACTGCAGGCGACTCTATACGACTTAGTTCGCAACTGTCATCATCGAAAGAAAGTGTGCTCTGTAAAATCATGTGAAATGGATTTGCAAAACATGTACTTTTTGGAGCAACCTTACATAATAAGGCGTTTGAGAGCTCGTCGTGATAAGAAGAGACGATTGTGTTGGATAAATGAAATACTTAGCAGAAGAAATTTACTGGGAGAATTCCATCACCTACATGACGATTTACTGAATGATCCGCAGAAATTCTTTGATTATTACCGGATGAGTCTAGACACATTTCAGTACATTTTGAGTGCTATAGAGTCATCGATCGCCAAAGATTGAAATTTCAGGGAGACAATAAGACCTGTGGAACGTTTAAGTATGACTTTAAGGTAAGTAAATTTATTCAATTGTTATAAATCTATATTAAGTTTAATTGAACCTCGGACCTCGGTTGGCCGCGTGGGTCAGAGTGTCGTGCTACTGATCAGCCGGCCGGCCGGGCCGCGAGTTCGAATCTCGCCTTCGCCATGGATGTTGTGTGTTTGTTTTAGGCAGCAGCGGTGGCCGCAGTAGTAGACTCTTCGGTCTCCTGATCAGCCGCCGTGCGCTGTGCGGGTTCGAGTCCCGTCCCAGGAGAAATGTTTCTCTGGGCCATGGATGTTGTGATTGTCCGTAGGTGGTAGATGGTCTCTGACTGTCGAACGCGGAGGTACCACCCGGCGGTTCTCGTAGGCGGAGCCAGAATGTGTGCATGTTGCATGCACACGTGTTCCCTCGCCAGAGTCCGTGTGGCGTCCCCCCTTTCCCATGTATCCCCCAAAGCCCCACGGTACCCAATGGGTGCTTAGGCCTTAGGCCTTCGTGGCAGTTGCAGTATTAAAAAAAAAAAAAAAAAAAAAACCAAAAAAGTAACAAAACCATCTATCATAAAAAGGAAATAAAAAAAGTACTCAAAAGTCGGACAATATGCATTCGTGTTGTAATTCTTATTGCGCCTGATCGGTATTAGCCTTCTGATTATAACACAGTTACTGGATATCTTGAAAGTTCCCGAAATATTGTCGCAAACCTGTATTAATCTGGTCTGCAGATGAGTTCGACGTTTGAATCGTCCATGAGGGTCCACCGGTTTCGCTGGTGCAAGGCGAGGGTACCGGTGTTGTTGTGTAGGTCGATGGGGTATGCGGAGATCTGTGGTATTGCTCTCCTTCATCAATAAATACTTGCTGAAGTTTATTTCTTGCATGCAATTTGCGGTGTTCTGGAACTTTTTTTAGATATGGAAGAAGACTAACCAAAAACTGATAGTCGCTGTCTCCTTCTTTGTTAGCATGTTCAGTAAATAACTGCAACTTAGCCCTCTCGATTTCTAGAAATTTATCGTCAACCGTGATGTCTGCTGGTGTATTTTTTTACGTTTACGATTGCTAGTTCTAGGTGTTATTGGAGGACCAGCAGGACGAACGTCAGCATTACCTGGTTGTGTATCATGCTGTTTTCTACGCGATGATTGCTTGCAGGTACTGGGGGTTCCATCTTACTGGTTTCGCTCGATGACATATTGAGTTCTCCTTTGTCAGTGACAACTGCTTGTGGTGATTCCATATCAGGCAAATCATCTTCATCGGCAATATCGTCTCCGTCATTATTTCGAGAAAATGTTCTTTCTGGCGAGACAACATTTCCCTTCAGCTGTCGTGGCTCAATTATGAGCGAAACAGCATCTGGTCGAAGAAAGTCCATGAAGAGGAACCTTCCTCCGGCGTCTCATCTCCTGATTTATGGACTTTTTTATATTCTCTTCTAAATACATCGCGCAGTCCTTTCCACTTTTTCTTTACTTCGTTCACTAAAACACAAAACCACAGTTTTGGTTAATATTGCAAATAGGAACATAAACAATTTTTTTTCAATAAATGTTCATAATGATTTCTGTTGTTACAGGTACTTGGCCACAGGTGCCTCATTCAAAACATTGGGGTATTCATTTAGAATGTCAGATGTAACCGTTGGAAGAATAGTTAAAGAAACGTGTATTGCTATTTGGGATCAGTTGAGCACTCTACATATGCCACTTCCTCCTACAGATGAACAGCAGGAGTCAATAAAAAAATGTTTTTGGCGTAAATGGAAATTTCCTAGTTGTGTTGGGTGCATCGATGGAAAACATATACGCATACGAAATCCAGACCATTCAGGCAGCATGTTCAGAAATTACAAGGATTTCTTTTCAACTGTGCTACAAGGTGTGGCGGGACCAGATTACAAGTTTATTACCATTGATACAGGAGGGTACGGCAAGGAAAGTGACGGTGGTGTGTTTTCTAATTCCCGCCTTCATAGAAGGCTTGAAAACAATGAGTTGGGTAATAAACGGCTTACCACACTGCCTGGATCGAATATTAAAGTTCCGTGCGTGCTGTTGGGAGATGAAGCCTATCCATTGAAAACTTACTTGATGCGACCTTTTCCCGCATCACAACTTGGACCTTCACATACAACTTTCAATAAACGAGTTTCACAAGCACGGCAAGCCATTGAATGCGCGTTTGGTATTATTTCCGCCAAGTGGAGAGTACTTCAAAAAGGAATTGAGGTTGAACCAAACTTTGTCGATGATATCGTTAAATGTGTATGTTTGTTGCACAATATTATAATTGACAAAGAAGGCGAACCACAACCTATGTCAATACCTCAACAATCAGAAACCAGTACTACAAGAGCCAGATTTGCTTCCCTAGGCGAAAAGAGGAGCGTCACTACAGCTTATGTGATCAGAGACAAATTCGCAGCATATTTTTGTGAACATCAAGCAAATACCTAAAAACACTTGTGTCTGAAGTAAAAGCTTTGCACTGTCGGTCTGTTTTTGCCTGAATATCTCTTATGTTTTGTTCACTTTGTAATATAATAATGATATTGAAAACAACACTTACCATTATTAGTAACACCTACTTCGTCTGCAACTTTCGACCACAATTTCCTCTGAACATCACGAGAATAATACCTTTTGTCTTTCATGTTCCACAACGGAGGCTTTTCACGAACGGCACTAATCAATTTTTCGTTATCAATTTCCATATCGAAAACTAAATATTACCTGCACAGAACACACGAACCCAAACGCAATGAATAATTTTATGGCGTCTTCGTCAGAGATAACCTTGTGGTCTTCGTTTGCACATGCGATCACAAACGACTAATCCCATTTTGGAGGGATCGGTCGCCAGTCGCTTGTGGTCGGCCGAGGTCGGTCGCTCAAGGTCGCTAACAGTGGATGTTGTTTACATAATTTGTCATTTGTTAGGATCAGTCGCTTGTATACGGGCGTATACGCGCTACCTTCGAGTCGCGCGACTACGCTTCCAATGGACGATCAGCCTTAAAGTAGCGCCGACCACCGTCTAAGACCAGCCGACAATCGTTTCCTTTTCACCCCCCCGTTACCTCAGCAGATGGTGCTCGTGATTGTAGGAGTCCCGTTAAAGCTCAACCGTTTTTCCCCAAAAACTTATTGCTCCTCTCTGCCAGTTGGGAATACACTTCTTCATGAATTGTATAGTGTATCCATAGCATATATACAATTGGAATGAGCAGCAGATATACAAATATACTAAGTGACATATAAATCCGAACACCCAGTTTAAATGGTTTTATTTTAATGAAAGTTGGTGAATGTATTTATCTTACTGAACGACAAGTGAAAAAATTTTCAGCCTTATCAGTTGGACATTCCGGTTTTTATACTGCTTTTTTTTAATTCACTAACGCTCTAAAAATGAATATTTCAGCCGCATTAAAGACTCAACCTTTGGCGGATTTTGGTTCTTGACATCATTTACGATCGGTCACGATGCCTAGAGTACGGAGACCTGTACGATTTCGTAACTTAGTGAGTTTGATAGGGGCTGTATAGTGGGACTTCGGGAAGCCGGACTTTCTTTTCGGGAATTGCAGTTAGAGTGCAAAGAAGTGTAGACACTGTGGTTAGGTGGTGTCAGGCATGGCTTCGAGAAGGCCGTACGCAAAGAGCAAGGGGCACTGGACGCCGCCGTAGAACAACAGGTCGCGAAGATCGCCGCCTAAGATTATTGGCCTTAAGGGACCGTTTCTCCACTACCAGGTCCACTGCAAAAGAATGGTTTGCACAACATGGAAGACCTATTGGCATGCGAAGTGTTTACCGACGAATGAGAAGTTTTGGCTTGTTTTCATACCGGCCACACTGGGTCCTCCCTTTAACTCGAGAACACCGACGTGATCGCCTTGAGTGGTGCAGACAACGGTCACTCTAGGATCGGGAATGGAACAGTATTGTCTTTAGTGACGAGTCTCGATTTTGTTTAGCCATGCACGATAGTCGTGCCAGGGTTAGAAGGCGACGTGGTGAAAGGAGGAATCCACAGTTTTTTGTTGAAAGACATGTTCATCACACTGTTGGAGTTATGGTTTGGGGTGCTATAGCTTATGGTTCCAGACCACCTTTAATCTTCATCAGAGGTAACATGAACGCGCAGCGTTATATCCAGGAAGTTCTAGAACCCCATCTTTTACCCTATCATGACAACCTGGCAGATCCAACTTTCCAACAAGATAATGCCCGACCACATGTTGCAAGGCCATAGTAGACTTCTTTCAACATAATGATGTCACATTGTTACCATGACCACCAAGATCTCCCGACTTATCCCCAATTGAGCACGTGTGGGATATGATGGGTAGGAGATTGCTCAATTTGCAACGTCCTCCTCAGACTCTAGAAGCACTTCGAGAGGAGTTGGTGGTTGCCTGGCATGAGATACCACAGGAGGACATTGACCACCTGATCAGAAGCATGCCTAGGCGCGTTGGAGAATGCGTAGCACATCAGGGTGTATCCACACATTATTAAAGGTCAAAGGGCTTTAAAGCAGTGCAATCATTTTGAAGTTTTTATCATTTACTTATTATGCTTCATTAAGTACTTATACAAAATTTTATTAAAATAAAACCATTTAAACTGGGTGTTCGGATTTATATGTCACTTAGTATAGTTAGAAATAGTTCAGGTTACTTCTACCTTCCAACTGCGAAGTATAATGTAGATCCCTCTAGTTCAACTAAGTTATTTCAGATAACAAACGGTTATTACGGTGACCATCACCTACCGGACTAAAACAACTCTGGTGTGGTGCCAAATGGAGTTAGAGTGAGAGAGAATTATCGTTCTCTCAATAAAGCACATGCGAGCCATTATCTGTACATGTGTTGATTAGCTGGCGAAGTGCAGTTGGTCGAGAATATTGACAACGACAGCCAATTCGGGGAAGATCTATCATTGCGTCCCTCCATGCTACTCGAATTATACTTGCTAAACGATGCCGCAACCGACAGCCAGGCACTAACTGGAATTACCATATTCAGAAATTAGTTGAAGATTCCGAGTTGTATGTCATGTACAGATGTTTGACAGGCCACTTATCAGAAGCGAATGACGAATTTAGGCCAGTACTTAATTTCCAAGTTTATATTTTAATTGAAGAGGCAGTGCACAATCATTGAAGCCTGGAATTCGTGTACTCCGTTTGGTGAAAACTGCTGTTATTCAAATTGTAAAAGTGCACGTAGCAAAAATATAATTAGGTATAGATAACGCGGCATACAACTGGCTTGTTTTCTTTCTTTTGCCCAACTTGTTCCTCCATGCGCCCTTTTCCTCTATACATATGGTTCCAAGGCAACTCTATAAATAGCCCATTGCCAGGTTAATTCAGATAATGTTTGAGAATACCATTTTACATCCCAAAGCTAACAATTAAAATCTGCTAAACACAGATACAGACAGTCTAGTCTAGCTCTGCTAACAAAAGAGTGGCAAGCGCTATGTGTTCCATCACATAATATTTGATACAAGACGTGTGTCTTAAAAGTTTTTGCACAAAATTTGTTGGCTTTAATTTGTCAGGTAGAGAAGAGTGGACCTCCCCACATAATTCGATAGTTAAGTATCGAGATGTAATTTATGATACCTGGTTAGTGTTTAAATAAATTTCTTCATTAAAAAGAATCCGATAAATATAAGTTATGGAACCCTGTTGGTAGCATAACTATGTGGTACAAGCCCATTATTCCAACAAATTGAATTGTATGGCAAGCAAGCCCATTAAGAAATATTTGCTTTTTTACTTCTTTTTTTTCGATACAGCTCTGTTATTTTTCCTATAAAGATTAGAACTATATCGAGGCACAGACAGATTTTGTTCAATACTTGTAACCACTCTTCGTTCCTGTAATAAAGTCTGTTATTTTTTTACCATACGACGTGTGCATTCTTTATCTGGCGCTGCGAACGGGATCGTTATACGCCTTCGTGGAAAACATCTGGAAGCTTGTACGAGCCATCAGTAAAATCTTCGAGATTCATCAGGTGAGCTGAACTACATACGTCCCTTCTGTGTGACCAACGATTGTAAGGTAGGAAGTATCCACTTCCGTAAGAGAAACGATCTGAGAACCTGAGAGCCACGTCCGAGGTCCCTGCAGAACGAACCTAGAGAAACAGAGAGCTACAAGAACCAGAGCAGTCTCCGTTATGAAAAATTTGATTTTTCACATAACGCTAGAGTAAGCCAAATCCATTTTATCTATTTAGTCAAAGAAACTTTTGGTATATCTCCAGTACGAGAACGATCACCCATTAGAAGACCACCAGTAAAAAACAAGCTAACGTTAGAGAGGAATTCAGAACAACCATGGCTGACAATCCACAAATGTTATTTAACCTATTGAAAGATAGTGTGCCTATTTTTTCTGAAACATCAAATAATTTATCTGTATATTTACGTAAATCTAGAGAATTTGTTGCCGCTTTGCATGGCCCATATCAAATTCATGCTTTATCGTACGTAAAATCCAAACTACAAGGAGAACCTTCTGTTATCGTTGAAGGAAATAATCCTCAAACTTGGCAAGAATTTGAAGAAATTCTCAAAGAACGTTACAAAGATTCAAAATCCGAATTAATGCTACTTGATGAACTTAGAAATTTATTCCAGTACACAGACTATATGAATTTTCATACTGAAATTTTGCAAAAATTACATATTCTCAGAGAATATGCTCTTTTGGAATTTTCTGATGTAGTTGCTCAATCTAGAGTCGACCTTTATACAGAAGCTGCATTAAATTCATTTGTAACTGGTATTAAGGAACCATATAAATCACTCCTATTCAACGCAACACCTACAACTCTTCAAGCTGCCTTACAAATTTGTCGAAAATGCGATAATTTACAAATACAAAAAAAGCAAAACAAATTTAGTTGCTGACGCCTTAAGCCGAATTCAGATAAATGTTCAGGATTATCTCGAAACCGAATCAATGATCCCTAACGCACCCGTATCAGAAATGACTATTCACGAAACAGACAACAGATCAACTAACACGAGACACACTTCGCCTGAGTCAAACCCAAACTCGATTCAATTTTCAGACAAAAGCTTTTATGCCTATCCTCACCGAATCGAATTTATAACAGGTAAAAAGAAAAACAAGATCAAATTACTTCCGAATAAGACACTAATTAATCAATTATGTTCCTCATTTATCTTGGATTGTATAAAAAATTATTGTACCCCTGGTATTAAATACGGAATTTGGTACGACGATCAGAAACTTTTGCCCATACTTAGTAAAATTATCACACAATCTTTTTCTGCAAAACATATTGTACTAGAAAAAGCTGCATTTAAACCAATTTATTTAGACAAACAAGAAATCAAAGACGAAATAACTTTGTACCATCATAAATTTCACAACGGAATTAATGAAACTTATTCTCATTTCCAAAAGACTCACTATACACCAAAACTTAAAGACCTTATAACTGACATCATTAATAAATGCGAAATATGTTTAGAAGCTAAATACGAACGAAAACCTTACAAAGAACCAATCCAAGGCCCATTTTTCAGTAACAAACCATTCCAACTAGTGTTCATAGATATTTTTACTATTGAAAATACTAAATATGTAACTTTTATAGACCACTTTAGTCGATATGCCCAAGCCTATCAGACCATGTCACGAAATCACGTTGACATACTATCTAAAATGAAACATTTCTTTTCACGTCATGGA